TATTTATTTATAAAAATCTCCAACAGCAATAAGACCGGTTGTTGTTAATGTGTTGATTCTCTCTACGCGAAGATGTGTCTCATTATAAGATGTGTCTCATTATATTTTACGGTGGCCTGGAGGATATTCAATTGAACCCTTCATTAAAAGATCTTATATCTAAAACACACATAGATCCTCCAGTACACGTAAGGATGGCGAGGGATGAAGCCGTAACACAAAACCCAGAAAAATACACCCCAGTGAACTCCTGCTTAGCGTGCTGCTCGACCCGCGCCCTCGGTAAACAGATGAAGATTACAAAGGGAATTTTTTTTAAGACCAAATGAAGAAAAAAACCTCACCGATTCTTAACCAACTTCCAATATTCATATATTCTCTAAGATCGGTTAATTTATGTTTGGTGTAGTGCGGTTTTTCCCAGACGTTGTTGGGCTCATACCTTAAATTTTACGCTGGCAATACCTAGCATCAGCGAGTGGTACATTTAGCGAAGTTGTTACCATGGCGGACGACCTTCACTGAGCAACAACACGCGATCCACGAGTTCAATATTTACTTCTGTTCTAGTATTCGCCAGCTGAATTTCTACGTTTGTGCTTCCTTCTGCTGAGAACTAAGTAAATTACGCGTGAAAATGAGAACCTTGAAGCGGGAAAAGAGTGAATAATGCTGATTCGCTGTTCGCATCTCCGCACAACGAGTTTTCCTTGCAAGTGAAGATGAAAGGAGACACTTAAACTGTCGAACTTAAAAACAAAACACAAACTTACAAACAAACCATCAAAATTGTACCACCAAGAAAACTACCTCAGCTACATACGTTCCCTTACCTATCAGTTTCAAGAGAAAATATGAAGTTACAGAATTTACGTCAACTTTGTCTCCGAACTACAGTGTAAAGTTCGCATATATTCTCGGTAAAAATATCGAGAGTAATTTTGGAAATTACTTATGAGTTTAGGTCTTAAGTGAACTGTGTGTATCTTTAGATCTTTAACTTAACGTGGGATATATATGTACCTCCCACAGCCCTAGGGTAACTGTTAACCGTTATCTGTTGACTGTTTTGACATTTTCTTCGGATATCGGATATCTGTTGATCGTTAAGATATCTGTTGACCGTTGGGATTTCTGTTGACCGTTGGGATATCTGTTGACCGTTGGGATATCTGTTGACCATTGGGATATGTGCTGACCGTTATATGATGACTGCTAGGATACCTGTTGATGCATATACCACGGCACTAACCCTTTCTCTTCGATGTGCCATCATCACGGGCTGCACCTCCCACAGAGCTGAGGAGAGAGAGCCAGGTCGAGGGCGCTATTTCAGTGATCCCAGACGAGGTAAGGGGGCGTGTAGGAGAGCTCAGATACAACACCAAAATAAACCTAACGTGTTGGGACTGACTTGTTTGCCTCGGGTTTATTCCCTCATCTGATCAAATTATTATTTTTTTTTTACGAGATCGAATTTCCTCTTGGATGATAATATTATGTGAAACATTTATAAAAAATGAAAAAAACATTGGTCTGTGGGGAAGAGTTAATATTCGTGAGTGATTTTTATTGGCCAAAAATATTTCACGGAAACTTTTTTTTTTAAGCCCGGGCTGTTTTGAACCACGACCGACGCTGAGCAAATACCTCAAATTTTTCCAATAATTCCCGAAAGGCAACTTCTTTTTTTTTACTATTTTTTTTAATCTTCTTTTGTACTCGAGTTACTTTATAAACAGTATATATATTCATAAGAGGAATAATACGCAACCATACTTAAGTCTTAAATGAGATAAATTCGAGCCTGATAATCCGACTTGGATGAACTAATGTATCTACATTCTACAGTATTACATAAATGTTATTTTGTATACATAACATATTTTCTAAGTCATTTCCTCCTCAAATCAAATTATTTCTTCTCAGACTTTTACTTAGCGAGTTATTATTATTATTAAGTTGATATTTTTGTCCAGTATCGGTTATTCTTGTACCAGACTCCATCACAAAACAAACTTCATCAGATACTAATCCTCTAAACAAAAAAATACTTCCAGGTACATATTTGTGCTTTTATAAGTATAAGATTATTTCAGATATATTATTCCCTCTCATGTATAAATTAGATGATTTAACTTCAATATAAAAAAGGAAATTATTCAAGCCTATTGATTTAATGCGTTCTGAAGTCCTTGTGTGTTGACGCTGCGCTGCTCTGCTCTCTCGTGTGTGTGTGTGTGTGTGTGTGTTCTAGCCTGGCCACAGTGGTTTGCAGAGCTGCCGGTGGCCCAGTGTAGTGGCCCTTGGGGTGGCCACACAACCAATATCTCTCCCCCACACCACATTAATCTCAGGCCATGAAATTAATCAGCTGACGGAAGGAAGAAGAGGAGAGGGGAGGGCACAAGGAAGAGGAGGATTACATCTTCCTTCCCAATCCCCTTTCCATTCCCTTCATCTACCATCTTCCTCACATCCATCATCCCTTCCCACCTGTCTTCCCTACCCCTCCTTCACCTCATCTACCTATTCCCACCATCCTCCCTCCATCTCCTATCTCCACTATCCTCCCTCACCTACCCATCTCCACCATCCTCCCTCCCTCATCTCCCTATCTCCTCCACTCCTCCCCTCACTCCTTCCCCTCATCTACCTACCTCCACCATCCTCCACGCACCCCCATCATCTCCCCAATTAATCATATCTTTCTCTCAAAATTCATAATCTTTCCGGCGTCTTTTTGGGTGAATGGTTTGATTAAGTCTGAGGAATAAAATATGACCAAACTTTCTCACGAGGAGCGTCCAAAACTCCGGCTCGTAATGGATTCTCATGGGTTCAGTCTCTCAGTCGGTATTTACAGCTGGGAAAAGTACAGAAAATATGCCATACTGTATGTGTGTGTGGGAGGGAATGTCCGTGGTTGTGTGTGTGTGTAGGGGGGGAAGCTGTGTGTGGGGGGGAGGCTGTGTGTGGGGGGAGGGTGTGTGTGTGGGGGAGGGTGTGTGTGGGGGGGAGGGTGTGTGTGTGGGGGGAGGGTGTGTGGGGGGAGGGTGTGGGGGGAGGGTGTGTGTGTGGGGGGAGGGTGTGTGTGTGGGGGGAGGGTGTGTGTGGGGAGGGTGTGTGTGTGGGGAGGGTGTGTGGGTGTGTGGGGGAGGGTGTGTGTGTGGGGGGAGGGTGTGTGTGTGTGTGTGGGGGGGAGGGTGTGTGTGTGGGGGGGGTGTGTGTGGGGGAGGTGTGTGTGTGTGGGGGGAAGGTGTGTGTGTGTGGGGGGTGTGTGTGTGTGGGGGAGGGTGTGTGTGTGTGGGGGGGAGGGTGTGTGTGTGTGTGGGGGGGGGGTGTGTGTGTGGGGGGGGTGTGTGTGTGGGGGGAGGGTGTGTGTGTGGGGGGGGGGGTGTGTGTGGGGGGTGTGTGTGGGGGGGAGGGTGTGTGGGGGGGGGTGTGTGTGTGGGGGGAGGTGTGTGTGTGGGGAGGGTGTGTGTGTGGGGGAGGGTGTGTGTGTGTGTGTGGGGAGGTGTGTGTGGGGGGGGGTGTGGTGTGGGGGGTGGGTGTGTGTGTGTGTGGGGGAGGGTGTGTGTGGAGGTGTGTGGGGGAGGGTGTGTGTGTGGGGGGGTGTGTGTGGGGGAGGTGTGTGTGTGTGTGTGTGGTGGAGTGTGTGTTTAGTGAGGGCAGTGTGTGTGGGGGAGAATGTGTGTTTAGTGAGGGGCAGTGTGTGGGGGGGCGGATGTGCGTAGACGTGTGTGTATGTGTAGGTGAATATATTCCAAAGCCTAGTAATGTAACGTAGATCATACCATATAATCTGGTCAAGATGGCTAAGAACCAGCTGAGTACGAGACATGTTGGCTATTATACGAGACATGTTGGCTATTTTACGAGACATGTTGGCTATTATACGAGACAAGTTGGCTATTATACGGAACAAGTTGGCTACTATACGAGACATGTTGGCTAGTTTACGACACAAGTTGGCTATTTTACGAGACATGTTGGCTATTTTACGAATCAAGCTGGCTCTTTTACGAGATAAGTTGAATATTTTACGAGACGGGGGGCTATTTTACAAGAAACGATAACTATTTAAAAAGACATGGGCTATTTTTACTAGACATAAGAAGCTATTTTTACTAGACATGAGAGCTATTTTTACTAGACATGAGCTATTTTCACTAGAGATGAGAGCTATTTTACTAGAGATTATCTAAAAGTTATTGACCCAACAAAGACTCGATACCATAACAGACTGACGTTAAAATAAAGAGACTCCGATGACGTAAACAGACAGACAGACAGACAGACTTACCGCTAAATCTACATCCTCATTATCCGGGTGATGGTTTCTGATGGCCCGGCCCTTGTGGTGGTCGGCCCGGCCATCTCCCACCGTGGCCGCCTCCAGCGCCCACATCCCCAACCGGAGCCCGTGGAACAGTCGCTATAGTACATAATCACTGCGACATCCATCAAAACCACAGAGATGTCACCAACACGATCTTACACGTGTGGACCCGAAGTCTCGACGTGCGAAACATTGTGGTGGTTGTGGTAGAAGGCTTGGTGGTTGTAGGAGGTTTGGTGGTGGTAGTAGTAATAGTAGGGGTAGTTGTAGAAGGGGGGGTTGTTGGTGGTGGTGGGTTTTAGTGAATCAGGTGATGATGTTGCCGCGTGGTAGGGATTGTGGTAGCAGTGGTAGAGGGAAGATGGTTTTAGTAGTAGTGGTGGTGGTGTCACGTGATAAAGATGTCGTTAATGGTGGTGATAATGGGGACGACACTTAATGGTAGGAATTGTGGTCGTTAGTTGTAGTAGTTATGAGAATTGTGATAATAATAAGATTTATTTAGTCATTAACCACAAAAGACGTCTAACCACTGACAGGTAAAACTCAGGTGAATGCAAGGCCAAAAATAAAGTCCAGAATATCGAGACTTTTCAGCTGGACTTTGGACTTAAGGCTTAAAAAAAAGGTAAAATGTGGGGGTGAGGACAGGTGTGTGCGAGGACAGGTGTGAAGGGGTGGGTTAAGAACAGGTGTGAGGGGTCAGGTGAGAACAGGTGTGAGGGGGACAGGTGAGAACAGGTATGGGAGGGAAAGCTAGAGCGGCCACATGGTCACCTGTCGCGCCGTCATCACCAACACCTGTAAGGGAGAGAGGAAAACCATTGTGATTATTACTGAATAAACACAAAACACACACACACACACACACACACACACACGCACACACACACACACACACACACCAAAACCACTTCCCTAATTAATAAACTACACAGCCCTCACCTTCCTCACCGAGAGCATATTAAAACACAACAAACACACTAGCATACACAAACAGTCAATATCTATACAACATTAAACTCAACGAAAAAAAAATAGTGTTGCGTGTTTCCTGAGTTTGTGTTGAACGAGGTAAATTTTTTAGAACACAACACAGTCACCAGCAACACTCTATCCTGTACCATGTGGAGTTAGGGTATGTATTCTTTATGTTGTTTTTGTGGTTTGGTTAGATCAATCTCTGATAGAGTATATCTTATGTTAAGCAATCGTTATGAATTCTTTATTAATGTATACATAATCCATCATGCCTATGTATCCTTCATATTATACATTTATTTTATCGTCTTTCAAACCTTTCATACAGTCATACAAATTAAAAAAAAATAATATATTTTCCAGGATGAATAAGTCAAAATGTATATAAAAATCATTTATAGTCAAGAGTCAGTCTAGGATATCAATCACCGTCAATATCAATCACCGTCAGTATCAATCACCGTCAATATCAATCACCATGAGTAGCAATCACCAGCAGTATGAATCAACAAAAAATATGAATCACCCTCATTATCAATCACAACCAGTATCAATCATCCACCACCAACATCAATCACCACCGGGAAGTCGGTCGGTCGGTCGGGGAAAAGAACCATGAAGCCATGGCCCCATCATCATCATCATCATCATAATAAACAATACAATTCATAATAACAACAACAACAATGACGAACAATAACAACAATGCCAATAAAAAACGAACAACAACAACAACACAATAACTATTACCAAAACATAAAAAATAACACCCCTGTTTTTCTACCAATAAAAACATAACAAAAATAACGACGTGTGGGCTAATGACTCCCCCCCCCTCCCCTCCACACAATTCTACACTTTAAAGAGCTGGCAAACTTTTCATGGCCTCTATCACAACTCATCAAACTTTTGATTGGCCAATCATGTCGAAATTGGGAGGAGGAGGAACCAGAAGACTATACACACACACACACACACACACACACACACACACACACACACACACACACACAAAATTACCATATAATTATAACAACACACCTATAATAATAATATATTGACATGATGATGATGATGGCAAATAAATGTAGTAATAATAATAATAATAATAATAATAACTATATATAAAAAACTAATAAGTAATATTAATAGTAAACATAATAATAAATATATAAAAATAATAAATAATAATAATAATAATAATAATAATAATAATAATAATAACAACAACAACCGTGATAATCCAGAGCTAAAATCTCCATTAATTATATGATATAATGTAATTGAACTCATTGACTGAAATGAAAATTAACCAACTGACTGATTGACTGACTGAACTGAGAACACTTTTTTGCTCTGCCAACTAATTAAAAATGTCGTCAGTTTTCTTTCACTTATTCGCCACTCTTGTTAATTTCTTTCATTTCTTTCATCGAAGTAGAAACACGATAATCACTTGTAAATACTGTGTTCTTGACGTCTAGCTTGAAGTCACAAGAAGGAATGAAGGAAGGAAGGAAGAAGACTAGGTAACAGCAATGAAATAAATGATACCTGCAGTGAAAGAATAAATGAATGAAGGAAGGAGACTAGAAAACAGTAATGAAAGAAATGATACCTACAATGAAAGAATGAATGAATGAATGAATGAATGAATGAATGAATTAAGGAAGGAAGGAAGAAAGGAAGGAAGGAACAAATTGCCGGAGAATAAAAGAATCCTCGGCAGATTTATCAACCATAAGCAATAACACTGAAGCTACCGCCAATATGACAGTTCTTGATGCCAGGACCCCATCACGACCCCACCAGCCCCACCAGGACCCCATCACTCCCACCAGGACCCCAACAGCCCCACCAAGACCCCACCACGACCCCACCACGACCACCAGGACCCCATCACGACCCACCAGGAACCCATCTCTACCCACCAGAACCCATCACACTCACCAACCATCTGCACCACGCAACCATCTGCGCCCTGGAACCCTTGCACCGTGCAACCAACTACTCCCTACTACCATCTGCTCCCTGACACCATAGACGTCCTGCAACCATCTTCGCTCTGAAACCATCTACACCCTGACACCATCTACGCCTGCAACCATCTGCGCCCTGGACACCATAGACGTCCTGCAACCATCTGCGCCCTGAGACCATCTGCGCCCCTGAGCTTCTGGGAGCCGAGACTCAAATATCGGTCCCCAATATCCTTTCTGGGTTGGCCGGCAGTTGTGTCATCACTTCTCTTAACTGTCTCATGACCACGAGGTCCTCTGGGGCCTGGGTGGGCCAGCCTGTCACGGTGGGTGGATCTCTCAGGGTGGGTTGGACCTCTCAGGGTGGGGTGGGTTGGTCAGGTGGGTTAAGTTGGGTGGGGGTAAGTCTGGGTGGGGCTGTGTAGGGTAACTCCTGTTAGGGTGGGAAGTAGGGGAGAGAGAGAGAGGAGAGAGAGAGAGAGAGAGAGAGAGAGAGTAAAGAAAAACAAAGAAAATAAAAAGAATGGTAGAGACAAACACAAAACAAAATTACAATACCAGGAAAGGACACAGTCGACGGGCGGGGCGGGCAGGGGGGCAAAGAGGCGGTAAGATGTTATGGGTCGAGTATAGGATGGATGGATAGGAATAGGGAAATGGAGAGGGGAGGGAGGGGATGGTGGGGCGGGGAGGGGAGGGGGATGGTGGGAGGGGAGGGGATGGGTGGGGTGGGGAGGGAGAGTTGGAGAGGGAGGGAGGGGAGGTGGGAGGGGAGGGGGGATGGGGGAGGGAGATCGAGGGAGGGAGGTGGATGGGAATGGCAATGAATAGGGAAGGATGGGAAGGGATGGAGATGTAAGGGGAGGGAAGGAATGGATGGGGAGGGAAGGAATGGATGGGGAGAGAAACAGAATGGATGGGGGGGTAGGAGAAAGACTGACAATAAGACAGAGGCCCCATTAGACCGTCGTGTTTACAGGGTGTCGGGTCCAGCCACGACAATGGGGCACAAAGGACACACCACAGTGACAGTTGTGTCGTCTTACGAGTCTGACAGGTGTACACAGGCAAGGTGAGCTCTTCTTCTTTCTGTCTCTCTTGTAAACAAATTCAGAAATAAACACACACACACACACATACACACATTGACACACTTACACACACACACACACACACATACACACACACTCAGTCAACACAGCACTTTGCTACTTATATTCAATACATTAATGGCAACACTGTTTTGGTGAGAGCATAAATTTATGTCTATTATATAATGAATTTGTGTGTGTGTGTGTGTGTGTGTGTGTGTGTGTGTGTGTGTGTGTGTGTGTGTGTGTGTGTGTGTGCGTGTGTGTGTCGCAGCGAGTGACTGTTCGAGTTTAATTTGTTTTTGTCAATGTTTTATTTTGTTACGTCATCATAAAAGCACATTGATATTCTTACAATGATCAACCAGTGTGTTCCTTCTGCTATCCTCTCTCCTCCCCCTTCCAATCTTCACCTCTTGCCCTCCCCCCACCCCCCCTCCACCCCCCCCTTCCATCTCACCTCCCACCCTTCCTCCCCATCCCTCATCTCCTAACCCCTCACCTCCCAGCCCCCTCCCACACCCCCTCGCCAATATACTGTAGACACACAAGGGGTAAACCAGACGAACCCTTACCTGTACGTGGGTATGGGTGTCCTGAGGAGTGAGGCAGGAGAGGTGAGGCAGAGTGAGGGCGTAGAGGTAGAGTGGAGGGTGGAGAGGCAGGAGAGGGTGTGAGGTAGAGTGAGGGCGGGAGGCAGGGAGAGGGTGAGAGGTAGAGGAGGGTGTGGGGAGGCAGGGGAGAGGGTGGAGAGGTAGAGTGAGGGGCGTGAGAGAGGTAGAGGAGGGCGTGAGAGGCAGGAGAGGGGTGTGGGGGAGGGGAGAGGGGGTGTGTGAGGCAGGGAGAGGGGTGGGGAGGGGAGTGAGGGGGAGGAGGCAGGGAGAGGGGTGTGAGAGGGGAGGGAGGGCGAGAGGCAGGGGAGAGGCGGGAGAGGCAGGGAGAGGGCGTGAGAGGCAGGGAGAGGGGCTGAGAGGTAGGGAGAGGCCTGAGAGAGAGGCCTGAGAGGTAGGGGTGAGGGCGTGGAGAGGCAGGAGAAGGTGGGGGAGAGGCAGGGAGAAGGCGTGAGGCAGGGAGAAGGTGAAGGCAGGAAGAGAGAGAGAGGAGAGAGAGAGAGAGAGAGAGAGAGAGAGAGAGAGAGAGATGGTTACCCTTGGGAAATACCTAAAATGATCACCACTATCAAAACACGTATACAATCACATATAAGCAATGTCTATAAACAATGTATATAAACAATGTATATAAACTAATAAACGTGTATAAACAATATATATATAGGTGTATACTGAAACAAATTCTCTTTATATATAACAGGCTCAGGTTGTCAGAAAATTATCAATAATCCTAAAAATCGTTCTGTCTTAGGCTGGGGAAGACTGGACGACAGAATACTATATATATGAGTAAGAGGTGGGGGAAGGAAAGGGGTGGTGGGAGGAAGGTGAGGAGGGGATTAGGAGGGGAAAGGGAGTAGGAAAGGGAATGAGGATAGGTGGGGGGAGGAGATAGGAAAGGAAGAGGTAGGGGAGGAAAGGGAGATAGGGAAATGGGAATACGGGAGGGAGGAGGGAAAGGAATGGATTAGATGGGATGGGGTAGAGAATGGTGTGAGAGACGATGAGGAGAGAACAGGCTGGTGAGGGGAGACAGCTGGTGAGGGAGAGAACAGGCTGGTGAGGGGAGAGAGGAGAGGCTGGGAGGGAGAGGACAGGCTGGGTGAGGGGAGAGAACAGGCTGTGAGGAG